ACCCTGAGCGTCTTCAATAATGCAACATCAAACAAGTTGAGGTAAGCCTACTGGAAGACGCTTGAGCCGCTTGAACTCCGCCCGGTCGGGTCCCCGGGCCGTTCTCGGTCAAAGGGATTCCGCTACAGCCCAGCTCAGCCTGGGTTGCCCGATCCAGGGAGAAAACACAAAGAAAGATCCAGAGATGGCAAGGGGTCACGTGTGTTCAAGTATTGCCATGTGTTGAACACTTATACAGAGATTAATTTCTTTTCGAAAAACACACATGTGTTGCAATACTTACAGAGATGGAAGGATCATGAATGATTTGCCACCTGTAGTCATGATTGAATTGCATAAACACCTGCAGAGAGTCAAGTATTGTACTGTACTGCCATCCTGGATCTTCTTGTGGTCCGAGACTCAGACTCCGCCAATCTACTGCAAGAAATGATTGATCTAGACATCAAGAGAGTGAAGAAATTCGGCGGCTTTTCGGTGGCTTCCTACCTGCAAAACGCATTTTGTTGCAACATGTCAATCCAAAGTGGAACACTTCCTTTGGTTGCTCCCATTGCTCGCATCAGTTCCTGGCCTGCAGCTTCTGTGCCATCTCCACTGTGTGTCTTGGAGCTAAGCAAGCAGGATTTAGGATGAAGCCCGAGTTGTACTGCTTCACCCTAGCAGCGAGCGACGGAGATCCATGGGACGTGCGGGCTCCGGCCCTTGGTGGTGATGGCTGGACGCATCATTTGGGACTCATCAAACGTTCGTTTTCGAATACAGTAGTGTCCCCAAAATCCTGGGCAACCTGACAACTGTGACAACCTGTCCACCTGGAACGCACGAAAGACATCGGTGTTTTCACAGACTATAGTGGTGTCCACCTTCGCTTCCATCTCAGACTTTTTCGGGGTAGTCGGTGCCCCACGAAGCTGTGCTCTGTTGTTTGCTCGGCTAACAAAGCATAACAAAGCTGCATCAAAGCACTCTGGAGTTTTGAAGCAAAAGGCGTCAGAATCCAACTAATTTCTGGTTAATGTAGACTCTTGATATCCTGTTTGAATTGGACATCCTCTTCATATAGGGGGTTTATCAATCACGAGTCTACATTAATTATGCAGGTCAGTGACCTTCTTTTGTTGGACCTTCTTTTAAACCTTCCTTAAACAAAAAAAACACTGCCATATGGAAAAGAAAGAATAGACGTTCCTGAATCCACTGATGGCAACCTGTTTCCGCTTCTTGGATCTTGGCTCTTCATGGAACCCGACATCATCAAAGTCAAGAACCTCAACACGAGCCAAACCGATCCAAACGGTTGGCTTAACACTGGAGAAGGACATGAAACACCTGTTGTTTTGTTTCGTATGCGAACACCATCCACCCTTCCAACCAACTCGTCCGTGTTTTTGTTATCCGTGTTTCTCTTCGCTAGTGCAAAGCCGGACCTCTGCACCTTTGTTGCTTGCTCTTTGATGGGCATATGCCTCACAGTCACGGGCAGCTCCAATCACCAGGTCGAACGAGTCGTGTGTCGAACGAGACACGAACCAGTTCTGAGTCGAACCTCACCGGGTCGAAGATGTCACAGACGTGTCGCCTGTGTATGATGCCCAAACCGCCGGAAAGAGCCATGGCCATGGCCATACCTGGCGCTGTGAGCACATGGGACATAAACGTGAACATGTGATGGGACACCTGTGAACCAGTACATTGAGATTGTCTGGTGGTTTTATGAAAGCCTACAAACATGCAATGGAGTTGGGTAGTTTGATAATAGTACTTGTTGTCCTTACACCGTGGGGTCTTCATGCCAACTTCATGCTGGACCTTTCAAGGGAACAACTCTGGGAATCCTCAAGCGGCGCCGGAATCCTATAGGCATTACTTCTTCTATACAAGAGTGCATAAAAACCCGCTAGGAACGTCACTGTTCCCAAACATCTCATTTTGCTTAACTCTTATCGTTTTGCAGGGTTTTGGCAATACGCGACACGTCCAATTGATTCCTACACTCTTGGTAACATGGCTGTGAACGTGCAAATTTATCCAAGCTCACTTGTCAGCAACTCTCATTGCACAGATGCTATCATTCTCATTGCAAGGTGGACAAATGAATGAACATATAATCGTTTCCTTTTAATCTAGTCGTTTTTGTCTTTCAGGTTTGAAGGCACTTCTGCAACCTAGGGACCCACAAAAGTGAAACTGTGAGATATTGTGAGCACAATCTCATGTAAGTGTGAAGCCAGTAGAGAAAAAGGAATGCTGAATGCTGATTCACCTGCAAAAGCCTTACGTCCCATAGTCACAAGAGACATCAGAGTTCAGGATGCTTCCTCAAAAATGCATGATAAAACATCACCTCCCAAAGCAACGCCTCATAATTTCCGTAATAATCAAGGGTGGTGATCCAAAATCACAGGGGTCACAGAATGACCATTGTAGAACAACTACTGGCCTAATTGTCCACAACAATCCTTCCCAAACACTTCCGGTAGTTTGCTTACCATCCACATAAGGATCTAACCTTACCACGCAGAAAAATAGAGATCAGGACTATCCCAAATTGTAAACTATGATAAACCATTTGGCTGCGGCCAAAAGACAAGGCCTCTTACCACTGCGTTGCATGAGTCCGTCTATACCAGCACTCGCAACCTTGGAACATTGATTAGCTTGACCAAGCCAACACCTCAAATCTCTACAGTGGGCAAGCTAATCATCAACAGTTGACATGATCGTTGTCCTTGGTCACAGGAAAGCCACGCATCCCCACTATGGCTCCCATTGCGCAAGGGCCACTTTGCCATCTGCTTGAGTCTTAGAACAGTTGAAAACACAAACACAAACACCAAAGCGAAGTCCTCAAGACAATCTACATGAATCCTCCATGGTCCTGTATCAACCATGGAAGTTGACATATACAGCTCATCTGCCTGAAACACTCGACTCCTCATCCCACCTTCTTCAGTACATTTGCCAAGACTTACAGCCGGGGTGTTCAGCTTCAGATTCCTTGGGCTGGTGCTCTTCTCGGACTTGACCCATCTGTTCAGCCTATTCATTCCTGGTTCAAAGTGGGTGTCAACTTCGCATGATGTCCATGTGCTTCCCCATTCATCTCATCAGCTGATGACTACTGTTCCGATGCCAAACAACAACGCTCCACTTCACATAGAAATCTCAACGCCACGACTGGATCGTGTCGAAGAAATAAATATCACAACGATGTTCTCAGTGCAGAGATCTTGACTTGATTTATCACCCACTTGTTCTTGTGGGTCAAACAAAACCTAGAGCCCCTTCCACCCCCGGTAGGGTGACCTGCCCAGTACTTAGGAGTCTATTCTGATGGAGACATACAAGGCGGGTTTGTATAGTTGCTGGCACTCCTGTACTTCAATACCAAGTCTATTCTGCCAACTGTGACGAACTGAAAGCTATGGCTTTGATCGAACACCAACCAACCAACCAACCAACCAACCAACCAACCAACCAGTCCTTTGTCTGAGCACATGTAGCACCACATCCAGCTGAAACTGTTTGCTCAGCCAACTGAGAAACCCTGCTTGGTCAATCTGGACGTAAGGTTTGGTGGCGAGGGAGAAAATGTACCTGAAGCCATCTGCCCAAACAGCGCAGCTGCTGCACTGTTTAGATAGCTCTTCCAGGCAACATAGGGAGGGTTGGGACATGTAGAAAGCTAACAATATCTGGTCTGAAGTGACGTTCAAATAGATATTACAAAATCAAAACCATACCAACAATTTGACAAACATCCAACCAGTAAAACCCGTATAGACCCGATAAAACCCACCAACCTTACGACGGACACATTCTCCACACATCCGTCCCTTCGCGCACCAGGCAGGAAGACCAGCTCCGAGAGGTTTAGGCCTTGCCCCCTGAAGCGTTTTGGACGGGACGGAGCGACAGAAGGGGAACATTCTTTAAAGAAGCAATGGGTTCCCATATGCAATCGAAACGACATCAAAAACTTGTTAATGAAACAATTGAATCATTTGTCATGCGGCCGTATTCAATCCATGTTCCTTTACCCAGACCAAAACCATGTGAATATGAAACGTTTTTGTTTAAGAACATCGTTTACACATTCACCGTACTGATGGTGTTACTAACTGAAGTACTAGTACCGACCACGGTCGCCCGGTCGCTGCTCGGAGCTCGAGCAACGGTGGACCGTCGGACCGAAAGTCGGTCGGAACAGCGAGTTGCGCTGTTGAGAGACCAGAATGCTTTTAGGAAAACCTCTGGCGCTGTTCAGAGATCAAGCTGAGAATGCACTAGGAAAACCTCTTCGACTCGAGCGGCAGGAGCGGAGGTCTTCCGCGGCAGGCAGGAGTGAAAGAGACCTCCAGTTCCGGAGAAACAAACAACCTCTTGCACAGGCTGTAGGATTCCTGCTTGTCATTGGTCGCGCCAGTCCGCATCGGTCGCGCCAGTCCGGTGGTCTTGGCCTGAACTACTTGCCAAGCATTTTGGATCCTGACCTACTTGCCTTGGGTGGCACCCTACGACGCTACGTTCAGGACTCCTGGCCTTACTACTAGGAGCAAGAAGCTAGGAACAAAGGGCATCGCTAGGAACGGAGCAAGGACGCTACGAACGGCTGGAGGCACTCTTGGATTCAAAAGCAAGCTGCCAAGGTACGCCACCGATGAAAGCCACATGCGAAAGGCAGCGCTGTGCGCTGGCGCTCTGTGGACGCAGCTGTGGAAGCGTCTGGAGTGCTTCTCGCTCTTTGAGGTCAAACATCAAGGTTTTCCCAGAAGATCTTCCCGGCTACAGTTCGAGCTTGCTTCTTGGCACACACCTGGCACAGGAGGGCTTTTTCGGAAAACTAAGGCAACTAGATGGGGGAAGACTGGAAGACCTTGGGTCTCCCCTCTCCTCAAGGCGTCGTTCAAGGATCTTAAAGGGTCTTAAAGGGTCTTAAAGGCCAATGTGGTGGGCCAAAACAGCCTGGTTCAGTCTCTGGCATTCTCCACAAAGTGGCCACTCGCACGCATGGAGGAGCAGCTCTCCAAAGAACCTCTATAGGCTGGCTGAATTGTAATGCTCTGAGAAGGCCACTCCCTGGTCGCCTGGTCGTCAGCTCCTTTTTTCGGCCGCTTCCTCACGAAAAAACCGTTTATATATTGGATATGTTTTGAAGGCAGGCTTGTCAGTGGTCAATCAAACGGACAGATCTTTTCCTTCAATAAACATTTTTCAATTTATAGAACACTAAATTCACGTCTTGATATACCCAACTTTGGTCATTGGTCCGGCATTTGCTGTCCTGATCCTTGGCAAAAACACAAAGCATGCTTCGTGTAAAGACACCCGTGATCCTCCAATTGATAGAAACACGGTTTGTACATGTTTGCAGTTCTTGCATCGAAAAAAACCCAAGAAACAATACAATACAGTGTATATCTCTTTCTTTTGCACTATCAAACAATGAGCTACTTGATGATATTGACTTTTTATGTTAATTGAATTGATGTTATTTGTGGCTGGGTGCTGCGGTGATATGGAGTCAACCTCATAGCTTCACCCTGTTATACGGAACCGGCTTTCCATATCCATCACGGAAAAAACGGGTCTTATTTAGGATTCTTAAATGTAGACATAACCCCCCGGGCCCCCAGACACGAATGGGAAATCCTCTTCATATGGGGGGTGAACTATAATCAAAAGTCAAGGTGAGGGTCACATCCGCTTGGACATCCGAACTCCATCTGGGCACCCCAAACGGAAAGACCTCGGCAGCCGACCAACCTTCGCCTTGCTCAGCTGACCTCCAGCAGTGGACGAAACGTCTTTTTCACGGTTACGTACAATGTGTTTGCTTCAAGAAATGGTACTTGAGAGAGGAGGGGGTGAACGAAAGGTAGCAGGCAGTCACAAGCAACCCTGGTAGAAGTCCATGACGGCGTGAACCGGCGCAGGGGGGATTTGATCCAGGGGGGGGCCCCCCCCCCGACGAACAGAATCAACTCTTACAGGACCAAACTCAATGCACAATCCCAACTCCTGATTGTAATACATTTTTGCTAAAGCAAGGAGAACTCAGGTAGCTCAAGCTACCTTTCGTGAATTGGAAATTCATACCCCGACCCTCCATGGGTGGTTTCACGGTCTATGTTTGTAAATCTTCCATACATGGAGTGTATCCGAAGAGTTAGTAGATACTTTGTTTCCCCTCCAACCACTAATAAATGTGTTCGTATGGATGTATGTTTCCCTCTTCCCGGTGCTCGGAAGGGGAAGGGGATGGACGGAGTCTCGTCTCCTATGGTCTCACCGTCACCACGCTTTCATATCTAATGTAGACTGTTGACTAATAACACCCCCCCTGCCAAAATGGTCTTACTTGGAATCCACGCAACTAGAAACAAATGCTTGTTCCAATATCAGTTGAGATCCTTTTACATGAAGTGCTTGGGACTGGGGAGTTGCATCCAGAACTGTTTCTGGTTGTTTCCATGACATAGATCTGTTTGGTTCCTCCGCTTTCACTGCCGATCCACCAAGCTCCGCGCGACGCGTCGCGCGACGGGTAGCCGCTGGTGAGGGGCAACGCGGCTTTCGCCATGGCGCGAAGAGGGCGTCTGCAGGTGAAGCTGACTCTAGCTGAGAATTCCTGTGCCCACTTGACGGGTTCTTCCAGGTTTGCTGGACATTGGTGGGCTTTTTCTGTGAAGTCTAAGTCTAACTTGGCAGTCTATTTGGAGAGCACTGGAAGGGCTCTTGAGGATCGTTTTTACATCCTTGCTTTGCCCAGGACAGTACGAGGCCCTTCCCAAACAGCAGCGGCGGTTGATCTCTCTCCGGCTGGGCGTAGCTCCCCCTCCTCTGCTTGTTTGCAGGTTATGTAGCTCCACGAAACTGGATCTCACGCTATGGGAGGAAGGCCAAACTGAGAATGGCTCAGCATTCTCCGGCACGTCACGAACAATCCATGGGTTTGCACATGATAGATTATGACTCATGCAAATGCTTGAAACCGTAGATTCTAAAACGAGCCCAAAGATCAAGCCCGTTGAGGTTGACTGTTGCAGCACATCTTTAGCCTTTGTCCAGTTGGCCAATGAACATTATCCAGCCCCACTGCAAGCTTCCACCGTGCAACATGGTGCAAACAGGCTCAAAAGATCTTCCAACGGTCTACCTGGTATACCTTTTACATCGCTCGATGCACCTTCTGTACATGGAATGTACATCCTATATACGGTCTTCAGCACCATTTTTTTGTCACTGATGGTCGGGTGTCCTGCCAACACCTGCCGTTGACACCTCTCAGCTGCCATCGACCTCACTGGAGGCTCAACAGTATCGTCCTAACGGCGAGCCAAAGAACGGAACATCCAATCAATCTCTCAACGCCTTTTGCGACGCGAGGTGCCCCCCCTTGCGGGTATAATAATGTTTAGTTTATGAGGGCCTGTGTGGCCTACACTCGACCAGCTTATTATGAAGAACTCTCCTGATTCCAAGGTGCCCTCAATACTTCAAGTATTTGCAATCCATTTCGTTCTCGATTCAGTCGATGTCAAAAGGCACTTCCTAGCTCTCCTCGTGAACGAGCTATCACTCCTGAGTCGGTCAATTGACGGCCATTTCTTTAAAAGAACGATTCACGGCCATTGGGTTGTGAATTGATAGATTGGATCATTTGTGTTTTTTACGCCGACAAACGGGTGGTTTTGCACTTCGATTCTTTCCAAGGAGTGTAATTATATGTTGCTTTTTCTCCTGACTCTGTTCGATGCCCAAAGAAGGATCCGGGACCCGTCGACCGAGTCGATCCCGATGCGGACGGTTTTGCGTCGACACGCGAGGCACAGGAGCACAGTCCACTCGCCGGAAAAACTCGTGGAAACAACACCCCAGCAAATGCGTGAATGAATTAGTTGGGAGTACTAGCAATGGCCTCCAACCCAAGAGCGATGGCCTCCAACCTAATCTAATAGCAATGGCCTTTGACGTAAATGAATGGGACCCAAGAATCATGTGTCCAAGAAGCAGTCCCAATTGAATGAATTGAAGCTAATCAAAGAGAATACCAGGCACAAATGCATATATGAGTCACTCTTGGGATGAACAGCTTTGTACCGCCTGATTAAGTTGTTTCATCCGTCAGGAATAATGTCTGACATCAACCGCCGACAGGCTGCTGTGAGCTTCAGCACCTCTTCACCCAACACAACTGAGGTGGCCGTCCTTGTCATCATCCGCTAGCCGCTAGTTGGTGCGCACCTGAAGTTGGCATCAAAACCCCAGCGACGCCCCACGCACGCAGCAGGTGGACAAGTCAGCTGTTGCCAGTTCACAATTACACCTCTCGTTACACCGCGCGGGAGAAGTAGACATCGTTCGAGATCGTCTTTGACCCACCTGGAGAAGTTTTTCGTCAGACCCAGGTTTCGCGTCTTTCCTTTTCGGCCGCGCCTGACACACGTTCTGCCAGCCGCAAACGACATCTGCCTGGCCAGTTCGATCCTGCCGAGGCGCACGTGGAACGAAAGCGGCGCACGGTGTGGAACGAACCGGGTGGCGTCCGTGCGTGCTTCTGCGAAGGATCTATTTGGAAATATTTGGAATGTTCATGGCAGCCTATACTCGCCAAGAGCGTAAAACTCTGACTCAACAACCCAACACTAGTAAAGGTCTTGACCTGCACATTGCTTACACCCTTGGCCACATCGGCGTACGCACACTGTCTTCTGCATGTCGTCCTCACTCAGCGACCGGGCAGACCGCATGTCTGACGCGACGGGCTGGTGTCCGGGGCTGCGCTGACTCATGCGCGTCTGTGCGCGTCCGGCAGTGGAGCCTGGACGTCTGGCCCAACCTCTTGCAGAAAAATGGCTCGAACTGTAGCCTTGCTGCAGCCTTGCGCCTTGGAACCTGGGCTTTCTCCAGGGTTCCTGGCCTTGGTTGCCAGCCTTTCTCTTCCCATGAGATATGTCGGGGCATATGATCGCGCGCGTGCGCGCTTTTGTACCACTCCAGTCTTACCAAATCAGTTCAGGATTGTACCATGATCTACTGTTGCTGCAGTATTGATGATGTCCTGAGCTGGTGCAGTGTTTAGGCAGCCGAGAGCAGTGTGGAATTCTCAAGTTTTCTCTAATTCATAAATATGAACCAAAAGGGACAGGCTTCCACAACGGCTTCCGTGTCGGGCCCAGGCCCAGTGTCCTCGCAATAGCCGGGATCGCGGTCTCGCGTGCACAGCACCTTGCCAATCTCCATGTGCCTAGGCGAAGTGGGAAGAAACTCTCGCTGGCCAGCGGACATTGCAGTAGCTTCTAGCTAGTAAGAAGGGCATCGCTACTGTAGCAAGAAGCTACTAGTAGCGATGCACTTGTTACTAGTAGCGATGCCCCTGCTACTAGTAGATCTAGCTACTAGTTGCGATGCACAAGTGTGGATGAGACCACAGACCATGGCCTTGAGGTGATCGAGCAAACCTTCCGGTGATCAACAAACCTTCTAGCACCCAATTCTTTGCCAAGGTCGGAATTCTTCGACCAGCATGACCGTGGACCGTTTTTGCGGAGCGTTTTCAAACGCCATCTCTAAGCTGAATTTTGGAAACGACACCTGCAGTGCAGAAATGGATCCAAGGAATCTCTTGACACACATCAAAACGAACCAGGCCGAGTGATCTGTAACTTGCCACCGACTCCTTGACCGTCGGCGGATTTGAGTCTCCGAAGACTCCCATGTTCGTATTTGTGGACTCCCGGTTCAACTCCCAACTCCCAACAGCCAATGATGTTAGGATGTTCAGAGCTAAATCAATTAAATTCACTATATTCACTGCATCCCCTTGACTTCTTGGGGAGTCTTCTCCCATTCTGCTCCCTTGGCCAACAAAGTCCAGCAATTTGAGGTCCCATGTAATTGTGGCCTCATTGGACTATCTATGATGCACAGTATTATTTGGATATCTCTTCACCTCATTTAGAACTATGGATTTGCAAGGTTTTAGGTCTCCGAGGTGAATTCCTCAGGCGGATTCCCCACCAAATTCACTACTGACTCCGACATGATCCTACATCCAAGGGTCTCTTCCTCGAAGCAAACCAACCCACCGGGAAAACGAGGGCGAAACCGCCAGGCAGCCGATTCTGGTGCTCTTGAAGCTTGGACAACACCAGGAAAAAGGCCGGTCTTGTACGAGACCCTCCAAGATCCGTCTCCTTCACCTCCCTCACGCCCCACTGGGCTCCCCGAACGGCTTGGCATCACTTCGGGGAGGTGCCGTTGGGGGAAGGGTCGTCTGGCGACGAATGCGTCAGAGCAAAAACACGTACCGAGCTTCACGCGTCCTTTGACCGACTTTCACTCATGTTTCACTCTTCCAGTGGGAACATAGTGGAACAGCACTTTAACTTGCGCCTTTAGCTTCTGCACTGTGCTTATTACTTCTGACGAACATGACATATTCACCTTGGAATTTGGGATGGGTTGGGGCCGGAGTCGGCCATCAAAAAACGTTGTCGAGGAGAGTGCTGCTCAAGGAGAGTGCTGCTCTCCCTCTAAGTGCTCCCTGTCTATCCATCGGTGCGCATTGTGGTGGAAGCAAAGAAGTCCATTGGACACAACTGCACCCGTTGGGAACTTTTGAGGCATCCGATGACCGAAAGTCTCCCATTCCTTGTCTCGTCTTCTGAAATTTCAATCCTTCGAACAGGACCTGAATACAAACCGCCCGAATAGCCTCCCCCAAACGTAATTTTTGTTGCTGGGTGATATACATCATATCATCATCATATTCACAACGCCACGTCTCCTCGACCACCGGTGATGGTGGAGGTTCATCAACTCAGTCGGCCGCGGCAGGCACAATATGCAATGGACGGAAGTCTGGTGTATTTTGGGCGATGTTCTGGCACTGGCTGGATGCATTTTGGTTGCCTTTATTGCCTCAAACATCTCCCTGTTTCAATATACATCCGGGTTCGTGGCCTTGGGCCCCTAAACCTTCGCTCAGTGAGGTGGCTGGACCTATGAACCTAAAAAGATTCCCTGCTTCTTTCCCGAAAGCTTCGCTCCGCCCACCAGTGCTTGTGGGCCAGGATCTCACCTTGTGGGGCCAGCCTCCTACGCATCCCCCCACATCAGGCTAACCTGTTTCGAGGGGTTTTGCAAATGAGACCATTTGGACCCTGAAATATGCCAGAATACACTTTTGAGCGTCCTGTTTGTGCCGGGGGGGGCAGCAACAGGTCACCAAGATGAATTGGGGGTCTAGAAATACTTCACCCGTCGATCACATGGAGGTGGAGAGTTGTTGGGCCCGGGATATGAACTCTTTGACAAACTGTTAGAAGGTAGTCCTTATAGGTTGTTTGTACAACGAATCTCTGCAATGAAGATCTTCTTTCGTCCGTGTGAGGGAACCGATTCCCATGGTCTTAGGTTTCAAGCCAAATGCTTTGCATAATCAGTTGCTGGTGCAAAGTGAAGGCTCAAACAATACCATCACATTCTTCTCATATACTCTTCACCTACCATGAAAAGCATGCTTGTCACTGCACTTGAGGTCTCTGTGAAATATGGCAGACCTTAAACACATCATTACATACAACAAAAACCGAAGAACAGGATCACATGCCATATCATAGAATGCGTTTCTTCGGCAAATTTAGCACAGCAGGAGTCAATGGTTCCACGAATTCCCAGAAGATGGTCCAAGCATGTCCCAAACGATGAAGCTTTCAGCCCGCCACGCAGCAGGGGCTCTGCTTTCAGCTTGAGCTCCGTGGGGATCGGAATGCCTTTGCATGTGGGGATCGGCCGTGAATCCTGTGGGACTCATTAACCCAACAGGTTCTTGACTCACCGAAGTCTCACATGAGTCAAACTCCTTCCTGGCGAATCCAACACGCATTAGGAACATCTTGTGACGTTCTCACAGTTTGCAAGACTTGAAGCATCGAAAGGCTTGATCCTTCCTTCCTGATTTTCTGAACCCCCAATCACCTCATGAATCTTCCAGGTCATACACCAGCAGGCACGAAGAAATCCGGGCCATGGCCATGGTGGCCCTGGTACCCGGGCCTTCCTTCCACTGCATCATGAAACCCAAGGCATCTTTGATCTCGGCCCCGGCATCGCCCTCCGAGGCCAAGAACCTCGCTGCGGTGCGGTGCTGGTCCCACGTCTATGGCTCGGTGGGTCGGTGCGTCGGTGCTGGAAACCAGTTGGGGGGAACAAAACCATGTGGAACAGGTGACCACCTCAGATGTGATGGCTAATCAAGTGGTGTTCCAAGACAGTGCTGGGAAGCCTTAGCCCTCTATCAACCCATCTATAGTTTTGGGATGGGATCGTTTTGCACTGTATTCTTGGCTGGGACTCGATGCTTCAACATCCTTTTACCATTCCCACACGGATACCTGAAAAAACATGTAGGAACATGTAGAAACAATATAAATGAAACAATGTGGAAAACAACAACAACAACAGCAACAACAACAACAACAACAACAACAACAACAACAAGGTACAAACAAAAACTGCAACAACAACAAGGTACAAACAAAAACTGCAACCCTCAACCCTGTCACAACAATATCTTCCTTTGTCTCTACCTGGTGGTGGAAGCAAAACTGCAGCCCCGTCGTTGTTTTTGACTCCCCCGAAAACAACAAGAATTTGTACCAGTAGTCGTAGTGGTAGTATAGTACTAGTGGTGCTAGTGGTAGTAGTACTAGTGCCATGTGGTAGTTGTGGGGCTAATACTCGTGCTATTGGTTATAGTCCGAATACTAGTGGTAGTAGTCCTAGTGCTAGTGGTCGTAGTGCTAGTGCTAGTCGTAGTAGTACTAATGCTAGTGGTAGTAGTAGTTCTACTTATTATATAGAACCTCCACCACATACTAGAAACAAAAGCTGGAGCCCCGTTGTTGCTTTTTGGACCCTCACCAGGCGTTGTTGTCTCTACACCCTCCTATAGAACCAACGGCTGCAGCCCCGTTGTTGTTTTTTGGACCCCCCTCCAGAACATCACTTCAAAAACACAAAAAAACGGACCAGCCCAGACTTCAGTGAAGCCCGTCCAACACAAGCAGCTATTTACGAAACCAACATTCCCTCAAACCGTCAACCGTATCCCTAACCTTGTCCCCTGAAGTTCCAGAGTTACAACATGTGACAACTATGTTGGGCGGCTGTTTTTGTTTCTACCACCACCACCAACAACAACAACGTATGAAAACCAATTCTTTTACGACAACCATTTACAACTAGAAAGGCCTTGAACTCCAACCATACTTGACTAGCGGCTAGCGACCTGCGGCTCACCTTCTGAGTAAATGTCTTAGAACAAAAACTCATTCATGTGTGTCTCGAAGCCTGAAAAGCAAGACAACTCGATGCGATGGTCTGACATAGCTCCCAAACCATCCATGATGGTTCTAGCACAGGCTCAGCGAAACCCTAGACCGGGACTACCTGCGGCACCTCGATTTGTAGAATGACCTTGTTCCTGCAGGGGCGTTGGTAGCATGACCGAAGTCATGACCTCATGACCTAGTGTTGCAGAGAGGCTGACACAAGCCACGCAATGTGTGATGTTGAACACCAGTTCCGGAAGCCTTGACAAGACACAGGCACGCACAAAAACAAACACTCACACACAAACCCTCGAGATATTGCACGTTCGGTCCGAATGCCGAAACCTTAGGGAAAAACCTAAGTAAAAGCGAGGTCTGAACATCTTAGCAGGTACCAGACAGGCCAAAGTTTGAAATCCAGAGGCCTCCATGTTTCAAGATGCAGCGCATCAAGGTTTCCATGGTTCAAGATGCAAAAGCCTGCAAACCTCAAGTTGCAAATGCAGAGTTGCACATCCAAAGTGTAACACATCAAATTGCAAGTGCCAAGTGCGTATCTCCCATCTGCGAGCGAGTCAAATGAATCGCTTTAGTATAGGTATTTCCAACCTACGAGCGAAACGAATGAATCGCTCTTGCATGCTCTAGTATCGGTAAGCAAGAGAGAAGGATGGAAAGCCTCTGGTTTTTGTGAGAGAGATGAATGAATCTCCCATAGTGGTAGTGAAAAGGGAAAAGAACCGACAAACAAGTCTGCCGACGAACTCATACGAACTCGTACGAACGCGAGACAAATGAATCGCTCTGTAGTGTAGGAAAGTAAATGCACATCCCCAGTGGATGCTTTCCTCTCTGATGCACTAGTAGCTTCTTTGGACAAAGTAGCATCAAAGAACTCTGTCCCCCCTGCAACATTTGACTCCCTATGAGTCCAAGGATTACACACGCACACACAAAGACCCATCACTGCAGCAACAGCCTGCAAGACCCATCATTCTGTAATCAATGAATCAATCCCCTAAAATAAACTAGGACTCAGAAAGTGTCATTCTAGGCTGACACTAGTTCTGAACCCTCTTCCGTGTACACATGAGGCCTCTCAAGACCCATCCGCTCATGTCTTCTTCTCCGTCTCATGTTCCCCAGCCGCTGCCAGCCCCCGCTGAGGCTACCCGGCTGGATCTCCCATCGTGTTCGATCCGGATCTGGGCAGGGCCGTCCAGTCGGAGCTCAGAACGGCTCCACGGCTCCCATGTGGTGGCTGTTCTGGTTGGGAGGTGTTGATTTTCTGTTTTGCAAAACAGGCTTCTCCTAAAGTGGTCAAGACCTGTTTCGCATGTGATTTGGATTCATGGTCTTTGTCTCGGTGCACCAAAGGCTTTGCATTGCTCAAATGGGTCCTGAACAATCTGGTGCTCCACGAAGAGAGCCACAAACTGTCCGTAGTCAGGTCAGCCACAAACCAAGGCAGTTCACGCAAAGGGTGCTTTTGGAGGGCAAATATGTTGAAGCATGTTGAAGCATGTTCAAACACAATGTTGCATGCAGATTAGCAAGAATTCAAGGTTGTGGACTGAATGCAAATTTGAAAAAACAAATGCAGATTTCAATGAAGCCTTCCCCACACTCCCCAAGCGGGATAACCCAGTTCCCAGTAGAAAATTACCATCTTCACCCCAGCAAACCCGACCCAACACACCTGGTCCATCCCCAATTCTGGGGGCATGACATGGCATGGCCGCCGAACAGACGTGGAACGCTCCACGAAAGCGTCCAGCTCCTCTGAGCTGCCCCCACGCTCTTTGCAGAAGATCTCATTGCGGATGGGATCGGCCACCTGAGCGATTCGGTGGTTGGGATGGGATGTCTTGGGTAATTCTTGGGTATATCCTGTTACCAGATGTTTGGATAGATTGCAGGTGGAGATCCAAGATCCTCTGTTAGCCAAGTGGATGATCGTTAGGTTGCAGGCCTTTCCATCTATAGTTACTATAAAGTGATAAGTGATTAATTAATGACAGACTTATACAGGTTGGGCTGTCCTTTATACCCGACAGGATGGAGCAAGCAGAGCAAGCACAGCTGCAAGCCATGGGCCATGGGAAGTGGGTGGTGTGCAGTTTTCACAAATGAAGAGACGCACGTCTGTCGACAGGAAGGAGTTCAATCAGAGTCTTCCAAGCACAAGAGTCGAACGTCACAGGAGTTTCAGCCATTTTTCTCTCCAAAAGACATTCCAACTTGTGACCTCTGGTGGTTTTCATTGCATTTTCGACCTCAGCCCTAAGGTCCCCACCCAACGATGCTGCGGTGTGCAGTGAGGCGTTTCCACCACAATGGCCATCTCATACCTCTGAGGTGCATGTGGCGCTGGCATGTGGTTGCAAAGATCTTCGAGAGCTCTGGTGAACCTACCACAAGCCTGGGCATGTTTTCTTGCATGCCCTGATTTCTGGTCATCCAATGACACAAACCAAACTGAAATGATGTCATTTACAATTCCACCAGCTTTCCCCTGAAGAAGGCCAGCTCTCCCCTGGGTCGACCATCCCGTTACCAGGGCCCAGCGGATGATGATTAGGTTGCATGCCTTGACCCTTTTCCCTCAACAAAAAGGAAACTCTGAGAATATCTCTGACAAAAAAATGCAAATTCATGGCTGGCGGGTGTCCAAACACTGAACTTCAAAAATCCCGCATCCAATCCCCAAAAGGTCCCAGACATGCAGGCAGTCCGACTTGACCCCCTTGTTTCAACCCTTCCAAGGCGGGTCTATACCACTTGACCCCCTTTCGCTCACCCTGCCCCTGGCCACCTCGGTTTTTGGATCCGGTCCCAAACACCCCTGGTGTCAGCTTGGCCGAGGATCGTGTCAGTGACCCCACAGGTCGGGCAACACTCCGGTTCTGCAGACCGGAGAAGCTCCAGGTCCCAGGGTCCTCCTGTCGTGTCCAGACTACCGTCACAGACCGTCACGTGTGCAGACCGTCACACTGGACCTCTGGACACCTAGACAGGATGATCCTGGGACCGGAGCTGATCTGTGTTGATCAGGGCGAGAACGTTGGACCCGCCGTGCCACGGAGCTCCGGCCTGCCGACGCCGGGACCTCGCTGGGCCCCGCCCAGGGCGGCGGGCGGCAGCGGAGTGGCGAAGATGAGCTCCACACTGTTGGGCTGCTCCATGACCTGAAGGTCCAAGATGGCGAGGTCATGGGCATGTGAGAAATGGCGAGGTCCATGTTTTCAGGGCAAGAATGGTACCTGGGCTTCTAGGATTAACATGGGTTAATGATGATTAATCTGTTGGCGCTCCTTTCGAATGTCGAGTTGTTTGAGACACAAAGAAATGTTTACTGCTAATTAATGTTGCTTCAGCAGGAACAAACACCCAAATTTTAATGTATACTGCATACTGGAGGAACAGCACTCGTCAAAAACTCGCTACGGCAGGAAGAGCTGCCATCAGGCCCACCAAAGAAACAAGCAAGGAAGCCTCCACCCTAAAAGCGATGGCCTCCAACCCACAAGCGAGAGCCTCCACCCTAGTAGCGAACAAAAAAAGATACGGACCCACCTTGGGGAGCTACAGTCCACCCCACTTGACGACCTTGGGAGCTTCCTGCCATCTTTCTGCACCGAACGCCCTTAAGTTCTACATGGCTTTAGGATCGTGACATAGCCCAGCATCGCGCCTTGCAAGACTCCATGTGAGGCTGGAGGCTGTGGAACTTGATCTTGCAGGCTTCTCCCTTCTCTCCAAACTGGCCGAGCACTTGAAACACAACCATGCGAGAACCGTGAACTCGTCCCAATCAATTCAAGAGTGAAAGCAAGGAGGAAGACCATCCATAAAACCAATGCGTTTTGCACTAGTTTGCCCCTTGAAGCATCTCTGAGGCTCTATGGAGAGAAACTCTGAACTTGTGATCTCCAGCTGTGGACAGCTGCTTTCAACCGGGCTGGGCAGTAGTCTGCTGTCTCCAAACCGTGCTCCCACCGTCGGAGGGTGGCCTGGTAGCCGTTGGGCGCACGGATGGTGATCTTCCGCGCCAAAGTGGTCTGTGCCCAGCTGAGAATCAGCTCTAGCCTGGCAAGACTCATCTCGTTCGGAAAGTTCCTCGTGCGCGTGGACGTTCGAAGAACCCCGATGTCGGAAGACGATGTTCTGAACACCAAGTAACAAGGGCATCGCGTTCGCTACCGGAACGGAGCAATCGGACGCGAACCGAACGGGGCTGGCCGTACGACGAACGGAGCGTTCGCCCCATCGGCGCCGTGAAGGGCCGATTCGCGGTTCGGCCTGTCTTCAGGAACTGGGACGAGGTGTGGAGATGTGCGAGATACGGTGAACCTGGATAGCGGTTCGGCAAGCGGTTCTGCCGGAAACCCATGGGAGGCGATGGGTCTGGCCATGTCTGGCGATCTCACCCCAGATCCAAAGTCCACTGAACTGTCTTATTCAGGAAGTGAACAGCCGCTTCTTGGACGCGGATTCGGACAGCTCATGTTTATCTCATTCACGTACTTGGGCAACTCAACAGTTTTGTCTTATCGGTTTGACTCGACTCTGAACTTCGCACGTCGTGCGCTTCAATGCGTCAGGATGATACATCCAGAAAAGCAACATTTTCTCGGGCTGGTCTGATCGCAACAAGATCACTCTCGGTGGCTAATCAAATCCCTTTGCGGCTTATGTGGAGCTAAGGCTGATGAGGTTGATTTGAGGCTTGTACTCCGTTTCCATATCTTTTCATGTTTCGATGTCACATCATATTTCGTTTATAGTGGTTACAAAGGCCATGGGCACCTGGATTTTGCATTTTATAAATATATACGGGCTATAAAATGGAAAACCAGGACAGCCTGCCTATAAAATGACAATTGGGTTTATGAAATAGAAACCAGACTTGTTTATGAAATGGAAATACCTCGTGAAAACATTTGGGTGAGAGCCACAGTAAAAACATAGATTCCTTACAGAATGCGAATGCCGCAGATCCATGTTCAAGGATCACAGACAAAGAGTTTACCGCGTTGTTAAACTTCCATCATGATCCCAAACAGGATCTTTACAAAATGTGTTGCCAAGTTCCAGATCACTGATCACCTTGAAAATATGGTCTCTGTCCAAAGTATCCCCAACCAGTTGTCTTTTATATAATGAGTTCAGGGCTGGTATCAGCAAAATCTGCCAGCATGGTCCATTATAGAATGCCCCTTGGATTTGCATTTTGTAAAGGAACGAGTGGACCATTTTATAAGGGGGCTTTGTAACCCCTATTTTCGTTTCATGTTTGACCCCTCAGCATCCGAAGGAGGCATGGCTCGGCTCCCTGCTGGGTACACTGTTGCCGCTCACAGGGGAGCCACTTGTACTCCGGGATGCAGGTCTGCAAGGCTTGGGTTGGAGGCCATCTCTACCAGGGTGGAGGCCATCTAGCAACAAGAACTTGGGTTGAGCCCTTGGAAGAACATGCGATTGATTTCGATTCTGACCGATGTCTCGATTCTGCTCGTCATGCTCTCTCACCGAAAGATGGCTTTGGAAAAAACGATGCATCCGCAAAGAGGGCGAATGTTTTTGCAACTGGACAAAGCACACGGCTTGATTTGTGTGAAAACTGTGAAAGTGTGGTTGAAAAGGCAAGGTAGATTCAACTCTAGTGAGACATCGCCAAATCAATCTCAAATCAATCATGGCCATCTACTCAACCGAAGCAAGGAAGGCATGTATCTACCAAACTTGTAGAGTTCGCGTATGCTGCTCAACATCTCAAAATTGACTCAGATTCATTGTCGCACTCTTCCAGTGATCCTGGCACCCATGCTCGATAAACGCCTCATCATCTGCTTCCTTTTGCAAAACCTGGCCAATGAGGTGCCAGAACATTCACAGTGTAGAGGGCGCTGTTTTTTGCATCCAAGCACAGACTCTAAAACATGTGGAACACCACCTGGATTTGGAAGAACTCTTGGGCATATTCCAACATTCAAATGGCGGAGTTCGTCCATTAATTGCTCCGGCTGCAATTCCATGCTTCTCCAAGCTTGGGTCAGCTTCCAAGATTGTTTAAAAAACAAAAACAACAGTAAATTTCAATATCCAGTCATATCCAGTCATTCACTGCAAAAACCAACACCCGTACATTCCAGTATCCGACTGAAATCATGTTGTGGACTCCTCATGCGACGCGGTCCACATGGTCATGGTTTCGCACCTTTCCCATGTCTCGTTGCGGTGTCCGGTCAGAAAAACCAACCCCAAAACCAAAGGACGAATCGCTTGGCTTCGTCTGTTGCGGTCGTTTTTGGTTTCGGACCCGATGTGACACCGGTGAGCCACTGTCCTGTGCGAGGCCACGTCGCTCGCCCCGAAGCGTAGACGCTTCGTTCGTCTGCCCGGCTGGGCCCGGCTTCGCCACGCGGTGAGCCACGCGGTCGCGAGTCTCGCCTTTTTCATGACCTTGAAGTGGCCCTTCCCGCAAACGGCATCGCAAGGGGTCACAGGCTCCCAGCTTTGTGACAGCTGACACCTGGAGAGGATGAGACGCATATATTGAAAGGAGGCGCGGGCACGTGCCTACGTACCATGCTGAACTTAAAACGCACAGCTACGAACGTTGACGGCAGGGAACACTATGGTCCAGTTTGACTGCAATGTTCTTGGGTGAGGCACGGGAAAGTCAAATAAATGATGGTCTGACAACCTGAAGCACATGGTAGATGAAACACGAGACCTACCAAAGACCCCCTGGAAGAAGGGAAACCCACCAAAACCCATTGGTCAGGGGCTTTCTTATTGAACACACCCATACTCATGACTGCAAGGGACGCACTCAAAACGCGTCCCACATGCCGATTCAGATCTCGCCGCTGCATGGATTTTCAATTTGTTCACAACCATCACAACCATTGTCCGAGCAGCGTAGCCGGGTTGTAATCATAAGTAAAGCGGCGGCTACGCCCGTTCCATTCCCACGGGGCCTGCATGATTCCACAAAGTATATGGTATTCTATAGAACAAGCCTACCACCAGCTCACTTCAGTCAAAACAGAAAGGGGTGAAACCGACCATGTGAAACCATCTTCGTAAACAAACCATGGACTACGTGGTGTGGTTGTAGGCCAAGAAGTCACGTACGACTGGTGGAACGTGTGTGAAACTGCTGCTCCGCGCGTATGTGGCCGACATGTTTTCGACGGGCCTCGCTTTGCAAGGCCTCATGGATGACGGAGAGGCAAGTCACGTCTCTTCGACTCCGAACAGCGCATTGGAGGAGAGTCTTGGAAACACTCAGCCAATGGCTCTGGGATGAATCCATTGACCAAACCTTTGAAAACTACCAACAACAAATTCACCAAACTGCCAACACGAGCAAAACGACATGCCAACCAGGCATCGAGGGGGCATCTAGTCACGGTGTCAGTCAGTGTCAAAAAAATATGTTTCAGCTGCCACTGAGAGTGGGTTCATCAATTGAAGTTGTGTCCTTGATGTTTAAGCCTCCCCTTTTCGAACTTGCGGTTGATCCAGTGGCCTCCCCCCACCTCGCTTGGTGCACGGACCCGTGCTACGCTTGGCTGTGATTCACTCCAACAGGAATCATTTGGTCCTTTGTGAAGCAACGGAAGACTGCTATTTAGACCATGAAACGTGCTGTCAGCGGTCGCCCCACAAAGGATGCTTAGAGACTGACTGTACAAAAGAAACACTTCATATAGAAACGTGTCCATGATGGCCGTAGTTAAACATCCACCGATTAACGGATTCCATCTCATGGGTTGGGGTCTCCCTACGTCTGGATTTCACCTAACCTAATAGCATCCAAACTTCGCAGAGTTGGGGCCCCGCGCTGAGTGTTGCAAGGTTCTAACTGTTCAGAGTACTTCTCCTCAGCTCGTTTTGGACCCAAGTGAAGGATGGGGGCCCTGGGGGGCCCTGGGGAACGCGGAGAGCCCATCTCTCTTTCTGGGGCACTTCTCCATCTCCGTCAGAGTCATAACGCCTGCTTGAAATTCTTCCAGGCTTGCTGAGATTTCACATTTTTATGGTATCAATTCTAACTGACCTTACAGCCCATGCTCGTGAACTTTGGTTGTGGGAGTGCAGTCTTTTTGTGGCAACCAATCTCTTAGCTTGGTGGGATGTCTTGCTCGCTGGTCTGCAAAGTGACCAAAGCGAAGAGCAATCAATTCGATTGACACTGCATCTGGATTGCTTGTCTACACCAGCTTCAGCCAACTCTCACGGCTCTCACTCGAATCCCTCGCACATTGCAACTTTAGCAGTTGTCAAAGGACTTATCCGTACTTAAGAAGCCGATCACACCGTCAGATTTGTCAAATTCAGGGTTTCGATATGAACCATACCAATTTTGGGTCAGGAGTACAGTACCCGACGCCATGCAGCCCCACGTTGATGCAGAACTTGGATGGTTTCTTTGGTCAAACCAATCTAATCTGCATTGGGGGGTTGTCGGTTGTCGGGCAGCAAATACCCATTTGCCCCGCGAATATCGTCCCCTTCGTTCACCCTTCAACTGAAGTCCGGCTTCGAGCTCAAAAAACCAGAAGCCCAAGACCAAGAGACCCAAAATGACCCAAATACTCCCAGTTATTGATTGAGAGATAGTTAATCACCAGGGTTGAAACTCTGAAAGCTCTATATCTTGGTGCATGGAACCTCCTCTATGTCGTGCAGATTCGGGTGTTCAAGGGTCACTGCAGCAGATGCTGTCGACCCGGTTTGGGGGGAGTGATGCTGTCCAAGTGGCGCCGAATTGGGGACACAAATGAAAGTTGTCTCCATCAATGAAGAACCTCCAGGCTCGCAGGCGGCAACATTACGCCCATTTGATCCCATTTGTATAGCAAGGAAAGATCTTGTTGAACATAACAGCATACTGTAGCTTCACGTGTGAATCAAGTCGAATAACGATAGATGTGCCAAGAAGGTCATGACCCCCCCACAACACCCCCATCCCCACCCCCCGCACCCACCCCCCCCCCCCCCCCCCCCCCCCCCCCCCCACCCCTGATGAAATGTGATGATCCATGAGGCCTGATCCTGCATTGAAACGGCACTGAAACAAATGGGTGTGTATTTAAATCGGGAGAACCCCCAATCGGCACTGGCTGGGTTGACTACTTTCCCAAGCTTGCAGGGGGCTTGTTAGCTGCTGGATTCAGCAGCCCTGTGGGGAAGATTGTGTGATCGCGAGGGATCCAACGAATCCCGAAACAAAAATCGCGACCAATTGCAATGCGGCGTGAAATCCTTAACACGGTTGCAACCTCAATAAACTCGATGAGTCATGACAGTCATGATGTTTTGTGTTTGAAAACATGTGGATTTGCCAGATTCGAACAAAATGAGTCTGATCTGCTGATCTGTGAACGTGTGAAGCCCCCACCCTCCAATTGCTTCTTCTGACCCCTTTGGGTGATGTTTGAACTCTGTTCATGTATGTGCTCTTTCGCAACGTTCTTCTTCACCATGCCACAAGTTGCCTCAAGGAACTTGCGCAAGACAGCAATCCGCTCACAGTAGAAATCTGTGATACCCATCCAGGTTGATACGGCTGATATACACATTTCTACTGCGCGGGATTTGACCCTCACCCATCCCCACCCCGCTGACTGAATGCAAGTCTTCGATAACAATGTGCAACTGATCATATACCACCACATACGCAACGCAAAGAAAGTCACCAACAGCGTGCCACAACCCATACAATGTACAAAACCATTCAATAACCATTTGCAGTTTGTAAAGTCAACCAACCCTCTTCCAGGTGGCCCTACGAGTTCTATGAAATGCACATCATCCTCCCAAAACGTGACTTTGCCCTTCACGTTGAAATTGGAAACGGTAAGCAAAACAAAGCAAAGCAGCAATGGAGCCAGCAAGAAAGAAAGCAAAAGAAACAATGCAAGGACCCAAGCGTACGCAAAAAAGAGCGTCGGATCCCTTTCTCAGTGCTGGCTGTCACACGAGTAACTGCGTGATGGGAGAGAAATGTTCTTTTCCGTTAGTGTAATATTACTCAACTCAACTCAAGGAAGTCAACACGTCAACACCTTGCCCACAGAATTCTGGGCTTAAGACACCTCTCCCTTCAATGCCATTCTGAGCTTCTCCAATTGAGCTTGCTGAGTAAACATTCCTTCCTCAGGAATTCTCCATCCTCCCAACATGTCACTTCCCCGGAATCGCCATCCTTTCCTCCCGGTGCCTCTTCCGGGTGAACTTCACTCCGCCCCCACATTCCGCACTGCACTCACCAGAGATGGTCTCCTCCTAAGCACCAGGTCACGATTCGCCATGAATTCGGTTCGAGAGGTAGACCGGTACTGGTATACCTGATTTCTGTATGTTTCTGTCGAGAACTTCCCTGAAACAAATTGTTCCAAGACGTTCCGAGGAGGATCTCTTGGGAGGATGCCAATGAATGCTTGAGGCAACTTTGAGACTCCGAGTCTACACAACTCAAAGCGTCTCAAAACTACTGATCTGCATAACACGCCATCAACTGATTTGCATTGATTTGCTTCACGATTATCCCCCCCAGCTGATCCCAGGGCCAAGTCCTCAATGAAGAAGTGGGTTCACACCATCACGGAGGTTCAACATAGAGCAAACCCTTCGTTGATTGAAAGATCCCACTGTCTAGCATCAGGTCAGAAGGACGGGAAACTGAACTTCGAGCCAGTCTTGATATGCAGATCGTGAAACGACAGGTCCCCCCATGCACAGCTCGGCTCCCGGTGCCCTGCCCCATCAGCCCAGTTTACTCAGTCCGTGGCCTTAAAGTCGCAGTGGTGCAGGCAAGGATGCTCATTGCAAGTCCTCGATTGAGCAAGTTTACAGAGTGAATGAAAGAGCAAGGTGCCCTCTTGATGCAGGATTCATTGTAGTTGCTTCATGATTTATTGAATCTGCGTGTAGACTCAGGTGGCTTTCGCACCCATTTCATTTTGTGAATGCGCCGACTGAGGGTCTGACGCCTACCTAACAGACTGGGACGTTGATATCTCCCACATGTTCAACAGACTAGGACGTCATTGCAAGGCCCTGGGACGTCTGGGACATCACAGTGGGAGAACGTTTGTTGCCTATCTCCAAGGCCCACCCGCACCCGTCTGAGAGCCAAGGCCCTGGATTGGGATGAACGGTCTCCTTGCCTCGGTGAACGGGCCGATGAAGTACGAAGAGGATCAACGACGGTCTCCGTCCAAACGAGTTCGAACGACGGTCTCCTTGCTGCATTCTGAAACTTGAGTTCGACAGGAAGGAACGGCGGCAGAAAACACTGGGGTATAGGAGATTCGTTGTTTCCTCAATGAATTGAGAAGAAAACAAGAATCCATGAAAGGGAGGTCATGACCTGTACGTGAATGACGTCATACGTCGGAATGAGTGGGTTTCGCATCAACTGTTGGTTACGCAATGATGCCTAGTGTGAATCTGTGTTGGAAATACTGGCCAACCATTGCTCAAGACACAAAATGTTCGACGCAGCGATGCTCGGGGGCGATCCATCCTTTGCCAGCCATGCAACTCACAGCGATCGCTTGAACAATTTGGCTTGCTGAAAGGGGACTCTCAAATTCAACATCTCCTTTTTGTTTCTCTTCCCACTCAACAAGCGATGCGGAACAAAACGCACTGGCTGCACTGGGGTGGTGTATGGTGTGCTCATTGTTTCGACCACAGCCCAACTTCATCAGCCATTTTGTCGTCACCACGACCTTCCTAGGGATCCTGGCACTCCTCACCACTGGGAGGTTGCAGCAGCGGCCTCCGGACAATCCTTGGTTGACCCAATTTGACCAAGTTTGAGTAGGCCCTGCTCCACTGCGGCATGATCTATCCGCTTGCTTCATGGTAGGAGCGATCGGACGCTACGAACGGGGCTCCTGGCATCGCTACTAAGCTAGCCTGGCATACGGGTGAGTCATGGGATCCCCGCCCGTTCGATGGGAGACCGGGTGGGGAGGAGACCCGCCCGTTCCATGATGGGAGACCCCTGTCACCCGCCCAAGTCCATCCAAAATCGTCCATCATTTCTTGTATCGCTATAGAAGCCAAAAGAGGGAGACATGTTGCACAAATCGGTCTGCAAGGGAACCCATCCCTGGCAATTAAATGAGGGTATAGTCTACTCATTTTTTCTCCAACTGTCCTCTCATTACGTTCTCGAACCGCATGTGTTCGTACGCGCGGTTTTACAACTTCGCACGGCGATTCGGCAAGGCAAACATGGCTACCGGCCTAGCTAGGCCTACCTACCTTCACACAGTAGAAGTAGAAGCATTCTTCTTTAAAGACACATCTATATAAATCATTTGCAGCAGAAATAAATTGAAGCAAGGGCTACAAAGATGTAGATCGTCAAGGCCGTAGATCGTGTTGCGAAAGCAGTCTGGCGAAGGAGATCTGCCACAAGAGTTGCTCAGTCAAGCAAGCAAGTCACTGTGGACTGCCACATATCAAACCGTAAAAAGGGCCACCAGAACATCCAGCCTCCAACACTTGTGAAGTTGTGAAAGCTAGCCATCATAGGGCCCTGTGTGGGCCCACACCCAACCACAAACTGCACCCTCGCAATACTTCGACCAAGCCGGTGTGCATTTCTTGTGCTTGGAAACTCCAAAGCCATTCGATCCAGTTGTCACTTTGATTTGCTGGAAATATGTTTAAACAAGCTGTTAAACGCTAACAACACAAATATAGTATATCTTCACATCACCACAGCTTAATATGTTTACTGCACACATATTTAGTATATCAGTGGATGATGATAGTTAGTAGGTCGGCCTGGTTTTTCCAATTCATAGTGATTCTGATACTTGCTGACGGCTCTACAGGTAGCAGGACAGACCCAAAGTACACATCTCAAGAGCTCCCCAAACCTTCGTCGCTCCACCCGATTGGATCCCCGACAAGCGATGACCTCCACCACATCGGGTGGAGCAGCTTCCCCAGCCTCCAAAACGCGAAGCGAAACCTTACCGAAATGCTGGTGGGAAACACCTGATGTTGTTGTTGTTGCTGTTGCTATTGTTGTTGTTGTTGTTGTTGCTGTTGTTTGATTCAAGAACTCAGGTTACCAAGAAAGGCCTGGTAGATTCCTCTGGCAATCTAAGCAGCTGCCTGACACATTGCCCGAAGGCTTTATTAATCGTCGTTTGAGAACTAGTGTCAGACACATTGAATTGGTTGTTGGTTCTGTTGATACAGGTGTCTTCAAACATGTTCTTTGACCCACCTCTACTATTTTCTACAAAAACAAAGGAATGTTCAACCCTGTTTGAGTCCAAGCAAAAAGGAAGACTCTGTTGAAACCACTCAGAGTGGGCCCCAAGACAGGCTGAAGAAAAGTACCCCAAATCTCGCAGGAAAGGGAGTACTGTAAATAGTTGAGGAAATAAGTATCCCAAAACTTTTTGATAAAGAGGCAGTCAGATAGTGCGAGGAAGAATATCTTGATAGAAGACATTGACATGTTCGTAGTCCCGTCAACCAGCCCGCCGATCCAAAGACTTGCGCCTTCCCACTGAGAGTAAAGGCAGCCCCAATCCCCTAGGACCTTAGAGGCCGGCATAGTCGCAACAAAGTTCATCAAAGGACACCAACATGTGGCTGTGGGTCCAAAGTCGAAGCCCGTTTCACCACTCATAGACTCATAGTCTATGCATGTCTATTCTGTCCATTTTCAGCGGTCAACCAAGGTGCCTGGGCTTTGACCCACAACCATGTATGTGGCAGCTATCACAATCTTGTGGTTGGTTTCAGTGGTGTGGGGCAGTGACTTGGGATAATGTCTTGAGATGATAGGCTCCAACCCAGCAGTATATATCTTGAATGTGAAGAAACTTCTCACTAGCTAGGCTAGCCGCCAAGTTCATGAGACCTCAAAAGGGGTACTTGGCTGCTACTGATGGATGGCGTTGCTTGATTTCTGATCAAACGTTTCCTCCCGCAAATTCTGTTTATGTTGCTTTGGTTGTTGGGAGTATGATTGAAAAAGAATAGGGGAATTACAAGACTCTTGTGAAGAGGTAGTATCTTGGGTCAAGTCCCCAACAACATGTCCTCATAGGAAAACATAATTGCTTTCCTTCATTCGTCAGATCACCCAGCTTATGAGCAGATCCAGGAGCGAAGTGGTCAATGAGCGGAGTTGAGAGACAGGAAAGACATGACTACAAGCAGTAAAAAAAGGTTCCTTAGGCAATTTACTTGCAAACTTGCAACACTAACATCTATGGTGGGGGAGTTTTCAAAACGTTTGAACAAATCCAGTCATTCGCCACTAAAATAGCCCACAGAAGGGGAGTTGATGTCATTTGCAAGCACTTTGAGGCATGCACGAGACCAAAAAGCAAAACATGTAAATGGCAAAGGGACTTATATAGGTCACCTATAAAGACTTGGGCCATATTCTTCGTCAGCACATCAATCACACGCAAAGAAAATGATAGGTTGACTCAAACACGACCACCACTGAGCCGACACGCGAAGTGGACATCAGCGACATCACTCCATGTGTTTGCTTGAAGAGATTAATGGCAACCACTTTCTGTTGAAAGCGGTTGGCGGGTGCTGCCGTTGTCGTTCGTTCGTGGGGGGGGTGTCCGGGTGTCCGGACAGGCCAGCCATCCATCTTCATCTCGCCTGAACACATGTCCGCCATCGAGAAGGAAACGGTCTTCATCTCGCTTTGTACAAGATAGGTGGAGACCAAAAAACATCGGGCAAGATCACACCCCGAGATGGTGTCCAGGAATTGGTTCACATCCAGTTGCTGTAGGGTCTCCCTATTCTGCTACACACGTCCATTCAAGGGTCCGTTGCTCAGAGGTTTCTAGATCCACAGTCTTGCCAGTGAATTTGGAGTTATCAACCAAATGCTCCCGGTTTGTTCCAACTAAGATCCAGTTGTTTTTACATCACTACTTCTCATCTTCAACCTTCAACACTGTTCTTTTTTGGCACGCCCCATGTTGTCACTCACTTAGGGGTGATCCAAATCCGGAGAAATTCAGCATCTGGAGGAGTGGATGCCCAGAATGCGACGCGATGCTACCACAAAAAGATGCTTTCCTGTGCGGCAACGCAGAATTCGTTGCTTCATCTCACTGAGTGGGATTCAACACGTCCAAAAAAACCGTGGATTTCTCAAGACCGAACTGAAGGCATTGATGACATAACGAATAGACTCGCCAGATGTTCTTCTTGATTCACCGTCTCCAGTGGTGGTAACAATCGCACCAACATACGTGTGGTGTGGATTGTTCAACAAGCAACCAACTAACATGTCCCACAAAATGACACCAAACATGACCCAACATCTCAGGCCTCAAGTCTCCAAACAAGGTGGTATACACCTCACCCAAACACATCCTCCTCCTCCTCATCCGAACCCGTACTCGACAAAAAGGCACCGCACGCCCACGGCAGCGTCGTCTCCTTTCATCCCTGGGATCGGCCTTCCCAAAGGCGAGAGCTCGGAGAGGACCAGCGGAGCAGAAACTTGTTGTCCTCCCGACGCCGCGGATGGCCACGGATGGCCACGGGTGGGAAGCACCGGCGCGAAACGAAGGGACCGGTTGACCCAGAAGTGGCGCATGGGGCCCAGTGGAAATCGATGTGGCCAATTCCAGAGAAGCCTAGGAGCTCCTGGCCTTACTAGGAACAAGGACGCTACGAACGGGGCTCCTGCCCTAAGAAAAGGCAGCTTTCCAGGACTCTTGTGACAGCGTCCATGAGCCACAGGCTTCCGTCCGTCAGATTCACCACGGTACCAACTCTGTTTTCACCTACCTACACCAGGTTTCCACTGGCATGTGACACTACAAATATTTTGAAGACCATCAAATCATTATGTAAAAGTAATCCCATTATATACTCATATAACTAATTGTAACTATATACACATATGATCCTTACTGGTTTATATATGACATATTTTACACATGTAAATTAGTGATGTAAGGACTTTCCTACCCTATGCGGCTGCATCATTAGTGTCTTTTTGGTTGTGAAGTTACAAGCCAACACAACTAGTTGCCTTCAATCCAGTACCACCAACATAGCAACCCTTCGAGCTACAAGCACTGTATATATATATGGGACATGACCTCTACCCAGTCATGTGAAATCCAACTCGCTTCGCTTCGGAAACCTTTCAGCGCGCGCACGCAGAAAGAAGATGGACACCCATGGTGGAGCCGAGCTCCCTCTTTGCTGACCAAAAGTGACCAACTTTTGGAGTTCTCCAAAGCTCTTCTCGTGTGATGTCCGGGGAGATCCGCAGTATCTAAAAGCTTCCAGCTACCCCAGGGTCATTTCCGTCAGTTAGATCCAGGTGATTCCAGGTGCTTTTGTGGGTGGCAAAAAAAAACATATGTTCTCTATATGCTCTTGACGCGTTTTTTTGACTGAACTCTCAGGCATCAAAGCAAATAAATGATCTTCAAAGATCTATGTATCTTCTTCCATTGATCCGACTGCTTTTGGGCTTGGGGTCATCAAGCAGTCTCAGCGGAACATACACCGCCCTTTGTGGGCTCAACAGCCATCGTCCCAATGGAGTGACCATGTCCCAATGATGCGACCCGTGAATACCCATGATCCTTCGTTTTTTCACGCCGTGATATGGCAATGTGAACGTCTCCCTTTCGAATGGACCGAACAAAACTGAACGTGCATAGGAATGTGTCAGCAAAGTTTGACCGCGGGCTCGACATGAAAAAATGTGAAAATCGGCTGGGGAGATCTACAAATTGCTGGCCCTCCCATACAATATACATATATAACTATTTCAAAAACAAACATAGATAAATATAAATATAGAGCTACTTGCCCCGTCCAGTTTTTTTAGGGTAGTGATCATGGCTTTATAATCCAACCCTGGGAAAGCTTATTTACTATAAAATGCCAGCACACCTCTTTGATTTTCTAGTGGAAATTCAGACCACGATGATATATATGTATATATACAAACAATAATATTTAATATATACAGTATACACCATGTTACCCCATTTGTTTGTCTTGGAAGGATAAGGGAGGATAGACATGTCCCAAACCCTATGAACCCTTTGGTGACAAACTACCCTCAGCTCATCTGATGAAAGCTGACAAAGCCTTCGCCATCTTTGAAGGAAGGTCCCCAACAACTTGCGAGACTCCCAGCTGGAAATGGAAAATCTCATTGAAGCCGTTAAAAACGATGGATTTAAGCCAGCTCAGAGATGTAGGTGATATCCTCAGCTCAGAGATGGGCAATTCTTTTTTGCAACATGGAAGTCTGACTGCCCCGACCATCGGTTATAAATCACGGTGCGTGATGCCGGGCGCCGGCTATCGCTCCGATCATCTAGCGGAACATCAATTCTGGTCTATTTGGTAAGGTCACGTTCGGAACAAGCTTCGAACATCAAGTTTCAGATGCTTTAAATGCCTTATCTACTAAGATCTTCCATCTCGTAGATTTTTCATATGCAGTTTATCTTCGAGTGATCGTTGAACATGTTGAACATCGCATGTGGTCTTTCGTGATCGTTGTACATGGAACCAACCAGAGGAAGCAGGAATCATGTGTAAAGCAGCAACACCGTTTTCATGAGAAACACAAACAGTAACAGCTAGAGCTCACTTCATGAAGACATTGATTCCCAAAACCCCCTTAAGAAGAACAGGTCTTACACTCGTGTTTTTTCGGGGTTGTTAACCCAACGCCCACATTGACTACATCACCAACGCCTCTGAACATCACCAACGCCTCTACTCAACCTGGATCCACTCCACTCCACCCTCCCTGAGGCCATGTCGTCCCAGGGATGTCGGTAGAGCGGCTGCTTCAGCCTGGCTCAATGGTTCGGTGAAATGCCACAGACTTCTGGATACAATACAAACTTCTGATAATTAACTACCATATATTATAGATATATATATTATATAATACTATATATACAGTATATATATATATATATCGATTATGAGTATTGTATACTTTCGTGCATGTGGAGGGGTGTTTCGGGGCTACCACTTCCGGATGTGGAGGGGTGTTTCGGCGCAACTTGGTCAACTTGGAGGTCCCTTCATCTTAACCGAAGAGGTGCGCCTTCAAAACATCCGTCTGGCGTATCCTTCATGTCTCCAAGACTGCAGTGCAAATTCCTGGTCTCCCCGGTACTTCTTGGTGTGTTCGCCCGACCTGAGACCCTCTCCACACCCGTATCGCCCCAGGATCTCGTCCTCGTCCTCCCCCTCCGACCTGAGTTGATCGAGGTGATGGCCGATGAAGCCCATGGAGCGGCCCAGGACGAAAAGGCCGTTCAGGCAGCCGAAGTTCATAAGGTCGTCAGCCTCCCAGGCATGGCATCTTTCATCCCGTGCTGGTCGTCAGCGGCTTCGGGGCGATGGAAGGCTTTTGATGGCTTTTGTACAAGGCGGGTCAACTCATCTGGGCGGGGTTCAAAACGGTTGGGATATTTGCTGAACGTTTTTTAGCTTTCGGGTGACACGTCGTGGGTCCTGGGTCCTTGACCAGAAATGATGTGCATGCGAGGGCGAAGATGCTGTGAAGAACAGACGTCGCGTGTTTCCGCGTGTGTCAAACAAGTCAAAACACCAGGACAATGCCAGAAACAACATGGAAAAACGATGCATCAAACATCGTCAAACAATCAGAATACTTGGATGTCCAAAAAAATGTAATTGGTCGTGACTTTCAGTCTGGATGATTGCTGCAACCATGGCGGACACGTTAATTGCACAGCTGGAGATGTGTTTTCGCAAACTGCAATGGTTCTTCCATGTCATATACAGTCTATCGATGTCGGTTGCCTCCCAATCGACTCACTGGAAGTGCTGCCGGAAAATGCTGGACAACATCCGCAAACGCTCTCTGGAACCCGCAACAGACATCAGCGGATGCCCCGAAAGCCCCAAGGCCTCCACATTCCAGTGGATGATGTGGGTTCACAGGCACCAAGTGCGAGTGATGGACAAATGTTCAGCTTGGAATCCTAGTGAACCCCGCACAGGAAAACAATGCCGATAATCCAGCTACAATTCCCGTGTTTTTGAGAACGTCCTTTGCCTTTAAGTAAACGAGACGCCTCCTCTCGGGAGAATGCACCACAGGAGCGGAGCATGTCGGTGAAGCAAACCGCAATGCAGCCGTCCACGTTGAGGATGAGATTCGCCCTTTTCCTGAGGCGGCGCGTGAACGCCGGCCACCAGTGCACTTCTCCGCAGCAAAATCGATGTTTTTGTGTGCTGTGCGCAGAACTACATGGCATTTTGGAAATACACACATACATACATACCTACCTACGTACATACACTACATTTCATTACGCAACAATACAGTACGTTTCATAACAAACAAACATACATAAACACACATTACATACAAAACATAAAATAACATACAAAAACATGAGTACATACATACATACATACATACATACATACATACAT